CCCCCCCCCCCCCCCCCCCATTAAAAAAAAAGTTGGACAATTTACATACTATGCGCGAAGGTTAGAGACGAGTCATTGAAAATATACAGCATACAAAGTGTCAAAAATGTACCGTGTCCAAAAAACTAATGGAGGAAGATTTTAGTGTATAAAAATGGTCATTCCAAAGTTGATACAGGATAAAATCCAACAAACTGCACAAGGGCTATCTACAGATCATGAGCTACAGATCATGAGCTACAGAGCAAGAGTATAATGATCGGTGTGGTGGCATAGCAATTTGGGAGGACGCAATTACATTTTGTCATGCCAGACATGAGTTATAACACATTTTCAGAGATAGTAGGAACTGCAGATGCTGGAGAATCTGAGATAACCAGGTGTAGAGCTGGGTGAACACAGCAGGCCGAGCAGGGAAAGCTGACGTTTTGGGCTTAGACCATTCTTCAGAAATGGGGGAGGGGAAGGGGGTTCTGAAGTAAATAGGGAGAGAGGGGGAGGCGGATAGTTCTCTGCTCCATTCTCATCCAAAGTTGGATAGACAGTGAAGCCACTGATGGATTTAGAAGGCATATTGGAAATCCGCTCCACTCAGTCACAGGGCAACATCATTGAATAATGGTATCGGCTGAATTGTTGACCTAGGGAGGTGAAAAACAGATCCTACTTTTAGAACCCAACTGTGGGCAAGAGATATTTTCTCACTTTGAGTTTAAAACAACTAGAGTAAAGCCATTAGACCAGACAGCAGAAATGGTGTAATTTGCAGCACAAGGCAAAAACGCCGTCTATGTTAAAGCCAGGGCGAAAAGGATAGGAAGTCAAGCCACAGTCTTCAGAGAAACGGATCAACTGGGAACTTGCACTGCCAGAACACCTGAACGGGCGTTTAGGTCGAACAGGAAGGTACTGATCTTACTCTAGCCTGGATGTAAGACTGCATGATTATCACAGAATATGGGATAACCATCTATCTATTACATCAGACGCTGTATGGAGTGGTACAGCTATTCCAGACACACCACAACACCTCCACTCTAATGTTGAACACTAGAGAACCAGGTTGCGACATGTAGTCAGAATTTCCAGATTGTCTCAATTTGGGAGATTCGGACTTTAGATGGTAGATGCTGATAGTGGTAATAAGTGATTAATGTAATACTGATGTTAGTATTGTTAATGATTACATGGATTGTGATTAAGTAGAAGTAAATTGTTAGAATAACAGAGACCAAGAAAAATTTGGAACAGACTTGGTGCGATGAGGTCCATGATGTGTAATTGCACATGGCTCTAATATCAGTCAGAGGGCACCAGTGTCAAATGAGCATGCAAGGAGAGAGGCCCAAGATGGTATTCTGGAGAACTATATTTAATAACCACCCGTGTGCAGATATAAATATAGTATTGCACTCTACAGGGAGTTGAAGGGCCTTACTTAGTGATTAGGAAGAAGGTGCCTTGGACCATAGATGTGCCAACACCCCGTAGGCTGAGATATCCCAAACTGGTATCTCAAAGTACTGATGACTGTCAGCTGCAAACACGTCAGTGCCACAAAGGTTGCTGCACAACATAAGACCATGTGACCTAAAGGGAATCAATTGGCACAGTAAGGGATTGCTTAATGGGTGTTTGTATTTTTTCGGGTTGGCAACCTGTAACTAGTTCAATGCCAAACAGACCGGTTCTGGGACTTCAACTATTTATCATTTAATTCTTTCACAGGATGAGGGAAATTAGGGGTGGACAGTGCCCAGAAGGCAGTTGAGTTGCTTTGGATCTGGAGTCACATGTAGGCCTGACCAGTAAGGTTGGCAGTTTCCTTCTCCAAAAGGACATTCGTGATCGAGGTGGGGTTTTTCCTGACAATTGACATTGGTTTCATGGTTATCATTCGACTCTTAATTCCAGATTTTTATTAAATTCAAATTCCACCATCTGCCAAGGTGGAATTTGAATGCTGGTCCCCAGAACATATTCTGGGTCTGTGGATTAACAGTCTGGCAATAATACCATTAGGCCATTGCCACCTCTTTATCAATGATTCTGATAAGACTAAAGATAGGTAGGGAAGTAAATTGTCAAGAGGATGTATAGAGAATGCAAAGCTATATAGACTGGTTAAATGTCTACTAAAAATTAGTGGAGTGTAATGTGTGCAAATGTGAATGTTTTTGGCAGGAAAAATAGAAAAGAACGTACTATTCAAATTGAGCAATTTGTAAATTAGTGATAGAGGGATCTGGGTATTCTGGTACATGAATCATTTTATATGCAGCTACAGCATGTGATTATGAAGACAGTTATTTATTGCAAGGGGATTTGAAAATAAGTTGAAGTTTTTGCTGCAGCAGATATTCATGAAACCACTTGGAATACTATATACAGTTTTGATCTCTATTTGATAAAAGATAACAATATTAGAATTTTTTCAGAGAAAGATCAGTTGGCTCATTCCTGTTATAAAGGGCTTACTTTATGAAAAAAGATTGAACATGTTCAATCTATAGAAATTGAAGTTTAGTAGAACGAGAAGTGATCTTAATGAAATACAAGATGTTGAGAGAACTGAATAGGGTGGGTATTCAGAGGATGTTGCCTCCTGTGGGCAATGTCAGACTAGGGGACATAAGTGGTTAAAATCGAATCGGAGATAGTAGGAACTGCAGATGCTGGAGAATCCGAGACAACAAGGTGCAGGGCTGGATGAACACAGCAGGCCAAGCAGCATCATAGGAGCAGAGAGGCTGACGTTTCGGGCCTAGACCCTTCATCAGAAATAAGTGGTTGCCTTAAAAAAGGCAAAGAGTAAGACAATTTTTCTGAGGTCACTTGGAATGTGGAATTCTCTTTCCCCAGCAGTTAGTGAAGACTAGGTCATTAAGTATTTTTCAAGGATTGATTAGATTTTTGATAGCCATAAGCTATGGGGTGTAAACAGAAAAGTGGAGCTGAGATTGCATTCACATCACCATGATGTTAGTGAATGGTGCAGCAGGTTCAAAAGGTCTAGTTCCTCCTGTACCTAACTAAGAAGGTGGGCTTACTCCTGATGTGCCAACCCAATCCACCTCCTTGGTCACTGTCTCAGCCTGAAACAGATTATTCAATGCATCTCTTCTGGGATATTGTTCAGTTATAGTCACCCAGTTATAGGAAGGGTATTATTAAGATGGAGAGGGTTCAGAAGAGATTAACGAGGATGTTGCTGGGTATGGAAGGTTTGAGTTATAAAGAGCTTGATGGGCTGGAATCTTTTACTGTAGCATAGGAGGTTGAGAGGCGACCATAAAGAAGTTTATAAAATGAGAGGTATAGATTGAGTTAGTGGTAGTTGTCTTTTCCTGAGGATGGGAGTTTTCAAGACTAGGGGCAAATTTTAAGGTGAGAGGAGAAAGATTTTAAAGAGATGAGCAAATTCTCTACACAGAGGGTGGTTTGCAATTCCCTGAGGAAGTGGTGGATGTGCATATAACGTGTGTGTGTGTGTGTGTGTGCAGACAGGTAGGCCTTGGGCAGCATGGTTGTGCAGGGGTTAGCGCTGCTGCCTCTCTGGGCCAGAGACCTGGGTTCGATTCCAGCCTTGGTTGACTGTGTGGAGTTTGCATAGTGTCCCTGTGTTTGCATGGGTATCCTCTGGGTACTCGGGTTTCCTCCCACAGTCCAAAAGGTGTGCAGGCTAGGTGGATTGGCCATGATAAATTGCCTGTAATGTTCAGGGATGTGCAGATTTAAGTGGTTTATAGGGGGATGGGTCTGGGTCTGGGTGGGATGCTTCAAGGATCGGTGTGGACTTGTTGGGCCGAAGGGCCTGTTTCCCACTGTAGGGGTTCTATTGAACAAATGTTCAGCATAGACAAGTTGGACTGAAAGATCTGTTTCCGTGCTGTATGCCTCCGAGTCTAAGAGCATTTTTGCTCTGACCCCAGATTTCTCACCATAGCTCACATTGTTAAAACCCCATATAAGATTCTGCCTTGAGAGTTGGAAGTTTATGGATTGTTCTCCTGAAATAGGGCCTAGCAACCTACATATGAGTCACCAGTGGTAGGGAAAAGGAAGTGAGGGATGCACAAAAGTCCAGCATTAGAAGAACAGTTGTTGTAGGATTATTCTAGACTAGAGAAGATTACAGAGAAAGGGAGGAGAAAGATCATGGGGGGAGAACTAGATGGCAGTGGTTGAGGAGCTAATATGCCAATGAACAGAGGTAATGGGTGAACTGAACTGATCATATTGGGGTTTAGGAGATAAGCAATTGTTCTCGATAGGATAAAGCATATGGAAGGTGGTGCATTGCTTAGACAGCAATGGAGTAGTCATGCCAGCAGCTTAACAAAAACGTTAAGGGTTTTAGTAAAAGGAGGCTTGAGGTGGGGGGAGATATCGTCAATACTATAGATACAGAAATTTGGTAGGATAATGTTAAAGTTTAAGGCTTACCTCGCCGTTAGCAACAATCTCCTGCATCTTTTAACTTGATACTAGAACTAAGGTGAGATTCTCACTAGGCACCAGTGAGTTGCCTTTTAAGGGGCATTATTGCTTAGTGACTACCTCCCTTTTTATTTACTACAGATCTGACTTCATTTTAATATGCAGCTTTCTAAGCTACCATGTGCAGCGAGCAAACAACAAAATGGCAAAAATCCTTGACCTGGAAGTCAAACTGGGTACCTGACAGCTTCAGCTTGTTACTGGCTTTAACAATATCCTTGTTTGTCACCACAAAACAGCATCACAGGGCACAATTCATGGGCACTGGCTACATGCACCCTCCTCCATAGACATTGCAAACTCAATGAGCAAATACCAAAGTTTTCATGGTACCTTTCCAATTTGGTGCAGCATGCTAAGGATGGGAAGACCTGCATTTAGGAAGAACTGATAACTGACATTAAAAGGCTGCCACAAGATTCTTCATATCTCCTGGACAGGCTCCCAGCTCAGATTGGACCAGGTAACGTCTCCAGTCTGCTTGCTTGCTGTCTTAGGGTTTGCTTACTTCCACATATGTGAATGTGCATAGCAACCCTGTCATGCTTTGCCTTGCTATTAGCACAGTTAGAAAACCAGTCAGCTTCTCTTGCTGGTCAGCAGCCCTCAGCCAAAGGAGCAGACGTTACTGTATGGCAGTGTGCTACATCAACTCACACTCAACAATGTTCCAGCAGCTTATGTTGCAACCACTGTGCAGTAAAAGTCTTAGGGGAGTAGTCCTTAATGAAGTCCGTGGAGGTATCCATTATTAAATGGGCACTGGCAGTAATCTGGGTGTTTCCCCAGTTGGAAACCATGGGTAAATCGGGAGATCCATTCCCTACTGAAGTCCAGATTTGAGGCGCTCAAATTGGGTGACCCAGAAATATTCAGGAAATTTTAGGTATCACCTTTACAGCCATCAGGAATGCAAAGAGACAAATTAAACTAGACTAAAAAGAACACGTGTTGACTGTGGCAAGGCTTAACAGGATATAGCAGGCTACAATGTGAAGTCAAGTAGAATCACAAGAATGCATTCCTGTGCAATGAGTTTGATGCATTGTATGTTTGTTTTGAGCAGAAGATCAGTGAAATTGTCACTTGTCTCAACAGCCTTGGTGCATCTGTACCCCCAATCACTGCTACAGACATCAGATTGGCCTTCTTGAGAATGAACCCATGGAAAGCAATTTGCCTAGATGGAGTCCAGCTGTGCACTCAGATCCTGCACAGACAAGCTAGTGGGAGTATTCAAACATCTGTAACCATGGGGTTCCTACCTGCTTCAAGAAGACAATTTTCTGCCTGGTGCCTGATTTCTTTTCGACAATGTGCCTGGTGGCTCTGACGCCTATCATTATGAAAGTTTAGTAATGGCACACATCAACTCCAGCCTCCCAGATTGTCTTGATTCACTACAGTTTGCTTACCATTGTCATAGGTCCACAGCAGATGCCATCTCCCTGGCCCTACACTCATCCCTGGAATTTCTGGATAACAGCAAGGATGCCTACATCATAGTTCTATTTATAGATGAGTACCTTCAACACAATTTCAACCAAACCTATCTCCAAACTAGGACTTAGGACCCTGCTGTCTTGTCTGCAACTGGATCCTTGACTTCCTGACCCACAGACTGCAGTCAGTAAGGATCAGCAACAACACCACCTCCACGATAATCCTTTAAAACTCGTGCCTGCAACGTTGCATACACAACCCCCTCCTATACTCAGAATCAAAGAACCCCTACGTTCGGCCCATCAAGTCCACAGTGACCCTCAAAAGAGCATCCCACTCAGACTCACTCACCCTCACCCCTGCATTTCTCATGGCACATCTTTTGGACAGTGGAAGGAAAGCAGAGCAACTGGAGGAAATACATGCAGATGTAAAGGTTATATATTTTCCCCACAGACAGTCACTTGAGGCTAGAGTCGAACCTGGGTCCCTGGTGCTGAGGTAGCAGTGTTAACCACTGAGCCACAAAGCCGTGAGTGTATAATGTGGCAAAATTTGTTCTCATTCCAGTTCCAGTTTTGCTGATGACATTGTAGTAGGTGTCAACAGTAGGAGAGTGGCATAATGGAAAAACAATCTCTCACTGAATAACTTTTCTCGTAACTCATTTTCTTCAGGTCAGAGGGATGGCCACGGTTACGTGCATGGGCTCCAGTTATGTCTGTCCCTGTGGGGTATGTGGAGCATTCCTTCCAGTCCTGTTGCATTCTGGTCACAAAAGACTGAGCTTCCAGTTGCCTGCCAGTTTAACACACCACTGTTCCTTGACCAACATTTCAGTCTCAGACTTGCTGCAGTACTCCAGCAAAGCTCAGTGTACGCTGGTAGAAGAGCACCTCACTTTCCATTTGGGCACCCTGCAGCTTTCCAGACTCAAGTTCAGCAACTTTACAGCTTGAGCTCTCCCATTTCCCTACTCCAACTTGTGCACACCAGACCTTGTTATGTCCATTTACTATTACACACAAGCCATTGTTGGACACTAACAGTCCTCATTTAATAGCTGTTCACCCTTCCAGCTATATCATCATGGAATCCCTACAGTGTGGTAATAGGCCCTTTGGCCCAACAAGTCCACCCCAACCCTCACAGCATCCTACCCAGACCCAACCCCCTGTTACCCACCTAATCTACACATCCCTGAACACTATGGGCAATTTAGCATAGCCAATCCACCTAGCCTGCACATCTTTGGACTGTGGTAGGAAACCGGACCACCCAGAGGAAACCCACTCAAACGTGTGGGAGAATGTGCGAAGTCGACACAGACGGTTGCCCGAGGCCGGAATTGAACCCGGGTTACTGGCGCTGTGAGGCAGCAGTGCTAACCTCTGAGCTACTGTGCCGCCAATTTTGTTAACTACCATCTGTTCTGACCGAAGGTCACTTGACCCAAAACATTAATTTTGATTTCTGTCCACAGATGCTGCAAAAGCTGCTGAGCTTATCCAGCAATTTCTATTTGTCTGATTTCCAGCAGCCACAGTTCTTTCGGTTTCTGTCTTTCCCTTCATGTCAGCAAAACCAAAGAGCTGGTCATCTGATCAAGAAGCAGAGTTGAGGTCATGCCCCCGTCTGTATCAATGGTGCTGAGGTCAAGATGGTTGCGCGTTCAAGTTCCTAGGAGCAAATGTCACCAATCTGTCATCGTCCATCCCTGTTGACACCACAGTCAAGAAAGCACACCAATGTCTCTACATCCTCAAAGCTAAAGAAATTTGGTATGTCCATGGTGATTCTTACCAATTTTTATAGATGCGTCATAGAAATCATCCTATATGGGTGCATCAGTTTGGTATGGCAACTGCTGTATCAAAACCAGCCTTTCTTTAATTGACGCTAGCTACATTTCCTGCTGCCTCGGGAAAGCAGTCAACATATTCAAAAACCCCTCCACCCCGGTTATACTCACTTTCACCCTCTTCCATTAGGCAGAAGATGCAAATGTTTGAAAACACTTACTGACAAATTTAAAAACAGCTTCTTCCCTTATCAGCCTTATGAAGGGATCTCTCATGTAATAAAGTTGATCATTCTCTACACCTTTTTCTGTAGCTGTAACACTATATATTCTGCATTCTCTTCTATCACCCTGATGTATTTCTGTAAGATATGATTTGTCTAGATAGCACTTGGAACAGTACTTCTACTGTATCTTGGTACATTTGATTTGATTTATCAATGTCAAGGGCAGCCTCAAGTCAGTCCAGGCGATTGGCTATGATCAGGCATCTATTTGGGGTATTCTCAGTCAGGGCATCTGTGATTCTGCAATCTGGAGAATAGGTCATGGTCATCTTGAGGTCCCATAGTGGCCACTCCAAAGATTGTGACTTAAGCAAGCAGGCATCAGTCACAGGTTAGGATAATTGGGGATGTTCCGTTTGGTTACTGAAGTGAATGAGTCACTGTCGGTCTATTGGGTATGTCCAGAAAACTGAGGGAAAAATGGGTTGGAGGCAACAAAGGGGACTTGTATGTTGAAAGGATGGGAATGACAATTGTAAAAGTGGCAGATATATTTGTACATACTATAGAATGGATCATGCAGGATTCATCCTGGTCAGGAGCTTTCCTGCTTTGGAGAGGTGGATGGGGGAGAAAAGCTGTGTATGGTCACCTCATCAGTGACTAGAAGGGGAAAGATGGACAAAGTCAAATAGCTTTGTGGAACGTGCCATCAGGAAGGGGATCTTGAAGTTTTGCGGGCTTGTTAGACATAGACCAAGAAGCTGGGAACTACTGCCTGAGGAGTGTTTGCTGTCACCTTCCATCTTGATTGAAACTGAAAGTAGACATTTGGTAAATGAAATAGCCATGGCCACACTCAGAGTGGGCAGTGTAACTGATTAAGCTGTGAAGGACAGGGTGCAAGAACCAAAGTGAGGCCCAGTCTTCACTGTCCAATGTGACCAGTCTGCCTTGCCTTCCACTATCTGCGCAGTTTTAAAAATGGACTCCACTTCAGAATGGGCATTTACACATGCACGATCTTCCAAGTTCAGCTTCACATCACTTTGAATGATCTCTGTGCCTTTTGTAAGCATGATGATTACAAATGAGTTGCACATATTCGCCACAGTCATTGTTCACCATCTTCTAACAAATAGCTCTCTCTGACTGCAGATAGACATCACTGGAAGACAGAAGTAATCACAGGCAATGTTATAAAAGGCACCTGTGGCCACACACAGACTGCTAATGCAAAATATTGTGGAGTGCATGGGAGACAAAACAAATTCCCTCTCTTGAACTGTCAGTACAATGGAAGTCTCTATGCAGTGATCCCTTTTGAGAGATGTGGAGTCTGGGAGAAGAGTTCAATGCTCATGCAATATTACTGTCCTAGTATCTTTTCACTATATGGCAGTGTATTCATTGAACTAAGGTCTTGTGTTGAAGTGTCAAAATGAATCATTCCATGGCCCTCCTTTTATTATAACGTCAAATGTCTCCTATGTCGGAGCATGTTAAGCTGTTGCTTATAAGGCACGTGACTACTTAATGTATTCCTTGCTAATAACCTGTTCTGTTTCTTATGTTCCCAACAGGTTCATGGTGAGTGTGAATGATAGACCCATCACAGCAGGAATTATTGCCATAAAAAGATGGGGGAGATGGAGGAACTGAGAAGTCAGCAAGTCCTAGACCAGCACTAACTTGCAACAGAAGCCCAACAGCCTTGACCATCTTGAGATTGCAGCTAACAGGCTCTCCAGAATGCATCAGCAGCAGAGGAGAGCCAGAGCTTTTTGTCTTTGATACAATTTCCTCCGATTGAGCCACAGACTGAGGCTGTCCCAGAACACTGATTGAAACCAACAGCTGGAGCAGGACCTGTAACCTGAAAGAGTAGGCCATCATTCTGTTCTGGTGACCATCAGAATGTCGGCTGCATTGAACTTCTACATGGCAGGATCTATGGGACCTCTTAGTTGTCTATCCGCAAATATATCAATGCTGTAACCAAAGACATTTTTGCCCATAATGAGGTTGGTGCTGTGGCCTGAGCAGAACTTTCAGCAATGTGGCTGGTTTCTCCCAGGAACATGGCACCAAACACTGTACAGTCATTGCATTGAGAAGGCCATGTTGTAGTGCAGTAGAATTATCAATGGAAAAGATTCCATTACCAATGGGTGACAGGTTTGTGATCAGAGTTTCCACAACTTGGGTTTGTGTCTTGTACCTTTGTAGCTGCACATCTTCTACGTCCTTGAATTCTAGTGTTCCTTCTACACATGAAGGCTTGGATGCTTTACAAGGCTGGTTACTGGGGGACAAGGGCCTCCCTCTGCAACGATGACCTATGACTGAGGCTGAGTGTAGATTCAGTGGTCCCCATTCTTCAACCAGAATTATGGGTGGAGCAGATAATAGGCCTGCTGACAAGTGTTCTGATCCCTAAACAAGTGTGGGGCATTTCAGGATGCTCCCATCAATGTTCTGCATATTCTTAGCATGCTGTGCTGTGCACAACTGGAACAGGTGAAGGGGGATATGGCAGATGCTGATGAGCTGGAAGATTGGGTAGATTCTTCCGAGGAGGAGGAAGCAGAAAGAGCATGACCTTGTACATGACAAAGCACAGCTGCATTAGGCATTGCAAACCAGACAGGACTGAATTGATACCTGGGTGCTATAGATGTGACCTGGCTGCAGTGATTGATCATTTGACTGACCTACTGCAAAATACTTGTTGCTTAACATTCTAGCAGTTCACTTGTATGCTAAGAGGGGCATTAGTTTGATTTGTTTTGCCTTTCAGCTTTGTAAAGAAAGGTTAATGTTTTTTACATCTGTTTTACAGGGTTTTGTTTTTAAACAGAAACATTGAAGGTAGGAGCAGGAGTAGGCCTTTCAGCCTCTTGAGCCTGCTTCACCATTCATTATGATCTTGGGTGATCAGAGTTTCATATCCTAATCCTATCTACCCACCCCCTGCCCAATATCCTTTTGTTCCATTTAGCCCCAAGAGTTATATCTACCTGCTTCTTGAAAACAATGTTTCAGCCTCAACCATTTTCTGTGGTAATGATTTCCACAGACTCACCACTCTAGGAGATGTGTCCAGTGTGAACACTGATAAGATGATGGGCTACACTGGCCACTGAGGGGAAAAAAAGAGTAGCAGTAATTTTGAGAGGCTTGTAAAATGGGATGTGGCTACAGACTAGTGAGTCATGTGGCCTTGTGCTTAAACAGTAATTGGAGTAGGATTGTGCAGTAACTGCACACTAGCTGGTGTCCCGTCACCAAGTCACCCTTTATTTACATGTGCACAGTACACTGGCTGTAGCCAGCCAACTTTGAGTCAGTCTCTGAAGTCAGGAGATTCTTTGAATCCCCTGTTTTATATCTGCCTCCTAGGGCTCACGTTAACCACTCCAAACAAGCATCTCATAATCAATAAGATCCACCTGGCTCCAACCACCACAGTTGTGCTGTGGGAAGTATTAGTTTGTGACTATGTACCGCTACATTAGTGAAAGGCAACTCCACACTTCCGTGCTTGATGAAGTAGATGGCACCACTGCCAGGGATGCTGGCCTATTCTGGGATATCCCAGCAATAGTGATCTTTCAACCAAGGTGAGTGGTAAAATCCAGCTAGCAGTGGATGAGTGGAGTGCCATAAGAATGGAATAGGTAGTTAATGAAAGTGCAAGAAAACCTATTAAACCTGGCAGAGAGAAACTCTCAAAACTCAACAGTGCACAATAAGATCCAGCTTTAGGTCTATTGTCCTCATACCACCTTCATTAGATCATAGAGTCATACAGGAAAGAAAGAATCCCTTTGTTCCAACAAGCTCATGCTGACAAGGTTTCCCAAACTAAACTAGTCCCACTTGCCTGCATTTGGCCCATATCCCTCTTAACCTTGACCATTCATTACCTATCCAAATATTTCTTAAATGCTGTAACTTTTACCTCATCAACATGTCCTTTAGCAGTTCATTTCACATACAAACCACACTCTGAAAAAGTTGCTCCTCTGTTCCCTTTTAAATCTTTCTCTCACCTTTAAAATATGCCCCCTAGTCACCTTATCCATGTCCCTCATGATTTTTATAAACCTCTATAAGGTCCCCCTTCAACCTTTTACACTTAAGAGGAAAAAAGTCCCAGCCAATCCTTCTCACTCAAACCCTCCAATCCTAGCAACAAAATGGTAAATCTTTTCTAAACCCTGTCCAGTTTATGGTAGGGTGACTAGAACCATACAGAGTAGTCCAAAAGTGGATCATGTTTATTTCTAGCTGACTAGGTTTCTGTGAAACACCTTGGGATGTTTAGTATTCTAAAATGCTATATAAATGTAGGTTGTTCTTGAATTGCACATTGAATGGGCCATTTCTTTAAAATACTCAGCATCTGATTTGTTTTAAAATGTTCACTTTTTTGCAGGCAGATGGCAGCATAATACAGAAGAATAGAATGAGAAGTTATTCACTATCAACACCAGCTTAATGATTTGTTAAATGTCTCTTCTACAGATTTTCACTAATACTTTGATTTATAGGTTGGATATCACATCTATTACTATTTTAATAGTTCACATGCTTTATTCTAACATTTTTCTGTTATCTGTCTTCAAAGAAGACATTAATTATTTCAAGTGGAGACACTCATTTTCATTGTAGGATGTATTTGCAATAGCTGGTTTTTAGAATACAAGCTTAATCACTGTTTATTGTAGAACAAATGTTTCCTTGTTCTAATTCTTTCAATAAATACATGTTAGCCATAGTGTGCATGTAGTTACAAATAACAAGGAAGATCTATGGGAAAGAGTAGCTATAAGACATCTGCAGTTATAAGAGACTAAGTCATTTCATGACATTCAGGTGTACAAGGCTGTCGAGTATTGAAGCACTGTAGATCAGCTCCTTATGGTGGTTAAAAAATGGATACTAATAAATTGATCCGTCTCATTTAGGTTGATTTTAAATGTTTCCTGACTTGTGTAATACTACTTAGTTTCCATCTTAAAGTTAAAGGAATTATCATTCCTGTGGCTGCTTCTCCAATCATGTTGAATACTAAAATTTATTATTTAATCCATTTGTCTAAAAATACGCATCCAAATAAGCTCAAACAGCTGATGGAGTGGCCTATAGAGATGTTCACTTGCAAAATATCTACATGAACGAAAACAGAAACGCATCTTTGGGAAATGGTCAAAACTCATAGTAAATGACTGTCATGATGGAAAGTCATTCATGACATAAGTTACCAGTTACTTTTGTGAATAATGATATTTTTACAATTTCATCATAGATGTTATTTTTCAATGATGTGGGAGTTATAGAAACTATGAAATAAAGTGAGTGTTAGGATTCATCTTAGGGTCAAGATTATGCCAAGTGAATGGCCAAGGCAACCACAAGTAGAAAAAGTGTCTCTAGACTTGATTTACTTTGTCTGAGGTTTCAGAAGTTAAGTAACTTGTAAATTAGTCACAACAACAGAGGTCATGGGAATGAAGAGAAAGGGACATAGCTGGTGTTTGTCTTGACAGAGAGGGAGGTGTGCACAAAGTATTTAGGTTGTGGCAGTGCAGGAAATGCTTGACATTCTCAGGTTGAGCTCTTGGTAAACATATGTCTTCATCTGAGTTATAACGATTTGGAAGGAAAATCATAAGCAGTGATGTGAAACGAATGTATCGGAGGAAAGATGATAGACTCGCTTATTTTATAGTGCTGCCTCTAAAAGAATTTGTTTTGCTGTAATCTAGGCTTTGCAAGATTCTAGCATAAGCACAGTAACTTGATAACACACTCCTGGAATCTTCTTGATTTACCTGAAATTAATTCGCTCCAATAATAATAAGTTACCTTCAGTTTTCCTAAATGGGGAGAAAATCAAAGGAGCATCAAATTGTTTGAATACATAAGTAATCATTTGGAGGAAAAAAATGCAGACAGGAAGGCAGGGTGGAACAGTCAACATGGATGAATGCTGTGTCATAAGGACTGATCTGTCCAATAACTGTTATGGCTTTGGAGGAGGGTTTGAGTAATGGGAGAGTAAATGGAGCAGGTGATGAGACATAACATGCTGAAAGCTTCAGGACTGCATTTGACCATGAGCAAATCTATACATGATTGAACTGTTTGTTACTTTACAAAGATAGTGCAGGAAAGGGGGCTTTTAAGGGTGACAAAGAGTGGACCAGGTTGCCACAAAGGGAACAGTGAAATAGGGAATGTTGAAAGATAAAGCAAAGGAAGCTGGTTTGCTAGTACCATCAATGCTGCAGGGATCAGAAATAATGGAGGATACTGCATAAATGGAGAAATTTTCCAATGTGACAACACTTTCACGTAGGTGAGAACTAATTGCATTTTCACCCAAGGAAACAGTTGTCAGAATTTCCTGGTGGGGACAAAGTTATAGACGGAAGGCATCCATTGTGATACATAGACAGTTGGGACTGGGAAATGCAAAACTGTTAGTGATAGAGAATATCACAAGAATTGCAGTTGTGTGAAAAGACTGGACAAGAGCAGAAAATTGGTTTGAGATATAAAGAATTCTATTATAGGGCAAGAACAGGTGGAAACAACAATGTGGCTGTTGTTTGAATATTGGGTAGGAGATATACTCCCAACCACGAATAGCTCATTCTGTGAGGCGATAGAAGATTGTCAGAGGAAGGTTATTCACAGTCCTGAAGAGAGGATTAATGTTTGATTTGGAACAGAAGTTGCAGTCGATCCTTCGAGTTTTTCTAAATTCTGAAGAGTTCTGAGAAGCTAAATAGTGACAGAGTATTCTCAAGTTGGTTTTTAACAGGAAGTCTAATTGAGATTATAATGAGAACATTGAAGCTCAGGAAGAAGCTGAAAGATTTTTTTAAAAAGTTACCATAAATCACTTTACATATTAAAGCTACCATAGAGGAAGTGACAAAAATTATTCACGTATTTGGGTAAGCATTGTAGAAGTAGGAATTTGTTTTTAAAAATTGTGAATTCAGGGCGATTTGAGTTTGAGTAAATAGTTAGTTTTTTTTCTGTACCTGTTTGTGTTGTCTTCCACTATCTGCTCCATATGTAGCACACTGCACTGAGTCACGTCGTTTCACATTCAAGTTCCACTCCTGGGACTGGGGGCAACGCATGAAAATGAGAACTGAAAGAACTGCAGATGCTGTAAAGCAGGAACAAAAACAAAGTTGCTGGAAAAGCTCAGCAGGTCTGGCAGCATCTGAAGGAAAAAACAAAGTTTTAGGTCCGATGACCCTTCCTCAGAACTGGATTAATCAAGAACTGTTTTCAACAGGTATGGACATGATGGGCCAAAGGGCCATTTTCTGTGCTTATTTTAATTCATTATGAGGGCATCGCTAGCAAGGACAGCATTTATTGCCTATCCCTAGTAGCCCAGAGGGCAGTTAAG